CGGTTTCGATTGGTAGGAACCAACAGTGTCTGGATTTGGATAGCGCTTGGGAGATGTTGGACGTGTAAGGTTCATGGAGCAAAAAATGAACATTCAACAAAATCCTGGAATATCCCAAGGTCCTCCAAGGTCAACAGAAAGAAGGGCGCTTGATTGCTTTATTCTATCTGCATGTTTCAAGAAAGGAAGACTCGACACCCAAGCGTTCCACCAATCCACCAACATCCTGTGTACGACCTGTGTTTTTTTCACCTGATCGCCCAAAGGAACAAGATCCCACACGACGTCCAGCGCCAAGTTCCCACCGCGCTGTTCGCCATCGCGATCGCCACTCGTTTTCAGCGTCATGCTCGTTGGAGCGCTCGTTGAGCATGTTCTCGTCCACTCATTCGTTTGGGGTTCCTCCCTTACAAGACCAGTCTTGGTCCGCCCGGCCTTGTTGGTACGCCCCGCTCGTTCAGAACCAGGTGACGAAGTCATCCAAACCAGTTGACGAGTGGCTATGCATTTCAATAGCCTAATCCTCCAAGTACCTTCTGAGAAGGTGTTTGGAGTGGGTTGGGATGGTCCAAAATGTCCAATCATACCTTCTGAGGAGCTACTTGGATCCCTGCAAAACAGAAGGAACGCTTCCTGACCCTCATTCTCCTTCTTCCAGGGGGTCGCTGCCTGGGGAAACCTCAAGCTTCCCATCTATTCAGCTCTTCACCTCCGAAAACGCCAGGTTTTTCTGGCCGGATGAGGATCCTGAGACCGGTCTATCCGCCGGGCCAACGGTATGCCGACCGGTCAATTGATCTCCCTGACACCCCGTGCTCCGCCCACCGAATTGGAGGCGAATCCGTCCCCAGTCCCCGTCAGATCGTCTCCCTGATGAAAACCCTTCCATCCCCCAAATGTCCCCTGTTGGTGACTTCTGGCGATGAAGGTCTTGGGCAAAAAGTGGACTGGGGCCACCAGGCATAGGCGTTCCCCAACCTGTGCGAATGGAAAACAGAGGTCATCCCAAAAGGCGTCCCTGGCGTTTCAAGAGCTTCCAATGCCCCTGGCACCTGAGATCCATGTTTCGTGAGTGCTGGACAAAACCCGGCTTTATAATTAGTTGTGTTTCTCCAAAACATCTGCATCTTTCTACAGCTGGGCTGTGGCTACTGGTGCCAAAAAGCGTTAGTGATATACTATCTGGTTGAGGTCTGGGCATCTACTCCGGGCTCATAAGTGTCATACCGAGTCATACCTCGTTCCCGAGGCTCCGCTGCACCCCCCGGTGGTTCGTCCCAATGTGGCTGCTAGAGAAGGCTGAATGGGTCAAGCGCAAGATGTTCCATGATTACATTCATGTCCCTTGCCATGTCCTCTGGAAAAAGCTCGGACCCTTGAAAAGGACCAACCACTCGCTGCCAGGAAAACATAGGAAAACACACCATTGGATGCTCGATTTCGCCTCCCCGAAACCCAAACAAGTGTTTTCAATGTGATTGTCTTCTATGGCAACTATAGTCATGTCTGTAACAATCACACATCCCACATCCCCCCCTGACTCTATGTGCTTTGTCTGTAACTAGCCATGTCCCAAGGCCCACGTCCAGGCGTCCCGGCGTCTCCCAGTTGAGGGGATCCTCTGGCCCCAGCGCCACGGCTTCCTTCGCCTTCTCCAGCGCCTGGCGTCCGCTGAAAGCCCGCCACAAGCAGGGTGGGCTGTTTTTGGGAGGCGGCCGAAAACGGGCGAAGACATGCTAAGACTATATGATCTATGACAAATGTTTGGTGTGAATAGGTGAATGGGAGGTCAATGATTGTCAATCTTTATGTTCTTTTTCACTTCTTATGTGATTTTCTTGGCAAAGATCACTTCTGGAAGTGGTCCAACGACTTGGGACTTGACCGGGATATACCGGGATCTATAAGCAGGATTAAGAACGTTATACAACTATATAGGTGCTCATGGTTGCAAGTCGTTCCAAGTGGGATATCGGTGTATCGGTGCATCGGTGCGGCGCAGATTGGACACCCGCAGCGCCGGCACAATGACATCTCCGGATCATAATCATAATCCGTTTGGAAAGATCTTTCCAAATGAGTCTATGATGGTCTATGTTCTCCGCCCTCGGCAGTTCTGGTGGGTCTGGTGCCTTGGCATAGTTCTGGCGACGCGAGGCGGCCTCAGCAGTGGTTCCCCGCTGACGCTTCTTGTTCCTAGTAGTAAGGCCAGGAGCCCCGTTCGTAGCGTCCGAACGCTCCGTTCATAGCGATGCCAGGAGCCCCGTTCGTAGCTTCTTGTTCCTATGGCCCCGGCAGTTGGAGGGTGCTGAATGGTGCGGAAGATTCCTCTGCAAGCAGGCGGTTCTTAACTTCCATGATTATGTCGGGGAGTGTCACAGGGCCTGTCAAACAGCCGAAGAGGGTCCAAAAGCCCTTTGGGACACGATCCATGCAAGGTATGCATGGCAAGGTAGGACCATGGGCACCCCTGGTTATCAATCTAAGATAAACAAGAAGCAATGCCAGGCCAGTTCTCCAATATCTAAATTCTTCTTGTCAGGAGCATCAACTTTGCAGCACTAGGTGACTACCCCAAGTTCTCTGCACAAAATACATGATCATATCAATCCATATCAATCCTAGTCTACGTGACCGTGGGTTCCACAAAGTCCGCCTCCGATTCTGCTCGGATGTGATTCCAAAAGGAGTCACGCCTCTCATTCAGGCCTTCCAGTTGGAGGGGCATCCCTGAATGACCCGCGTCTTGGATTCCGCGCCTGAGAAGCATCATCATGGCCGCCTCGCTCGACGGGGGGGGGCCCATGTAGCAGTGCCACGCATGGGCTTGGCTTCGAAGCTTCTTCGGTTCTTTCGGAGGTTGGTCAAACACAGAAACAGCCTGAAGGAGTGCGTGATTCGAGTCGATGCCAGTTGCCAATAAGTGGACATCAACGAGGAACTGGTGAGAAAACCACCATTTTACGAGGCCGTGTCTTGTGCAGGGCTAAATAAGAAATCATCAATCATCTTTATCATCTTTGTTGGAAGGACAAGCAGTCGACACAAACGGGGGAGCCGGATAGCCACTCGCTTGGGAATCATCAACGATTGCAATTGAACATTTGTTGGAGGCCATCGCTAGTAGGTTGGAGGCTTTGCTTGTAGGTTGGAGGCCATCTCATGGTCAGCCTTTTCGTTGGGCAAACTGGCCCCTGCCGCGCTGGCTTCCATGCGTGCTGGCTTTGCTACCGACAGGAGAACCTCCAACATGGAGGATCGCTCGGGCAACCTACTGGTTCGGATATGACCCAAGCTGTGCCAAAATATGCAAAATGCAATGGGCCATTGCACTACAATGCATCTTGAGATGCTGTCATCCACTTGTCATCCCTTCCTGTCAGTCAAAAACATGTCCCGATCGGAATCGGCCTATGGGCCTTTTGCGCCTCTCTTTCTGCGCAAACCTAGTTTGCCCAGGCATGCAGCTTGGCTGTTCAGCGCATGCATTGTGCAGCTGCAGGCGGGTGTCCTGCCTAAGCCTAAGCACCGATGTGACAATGTGCAACACGTGATGTCTGGAATGTCAACCATCAACAAGAAACACAGACCCCCCCTACTACATCCTACCACCAACTTTGCTTGCCCTCTGATTCTTTTTGAGATGCAACTTTGGAGCACAAGGTGGGAATTTGTTTGAGGGCATGGAGAACCGCACAACTCCAGCCTGCAAAGAAATTATTGTTACCAAAAGGCATCAAAAAAGCGTAGCCTCCACACTCATCCACCTTCAATTCATTCAAGTACCAGAGAACCCGGCTTGTGAGCTTCTGTGCACGGTCTTCAGGGTCCACCTTTTTTTGGTGAAGATGTTTCACGACCTGTGCGAACCCCACCCACGTTTGAGATCTCTTCAAGTCGAGGGGGTTGCTATTGCTTGGTCTCCGAATGTTCCTCAGTGTTAGTTGGTCTTTGTGTCTCTCTCTCTCTGTCTCTGTCTATCAAGTAGCTAAGACACCGGTGCTCACTTGAAACCTGAACGATCTATCAGATCCTGTATCTGATCTCCTAAGGTCATGGGTAGCATGTTTCACCCCAAATCGCTAGGGGTAGCCTCCATGACCAGTTGAGCAAAAAACAGGCAGGACCTCGTCCTGGTATCATCTCGTGCCAATTGAAACTTTGCCACGGCAGGAGAAGGGGGTGGCGGACATTGCAAGCCTACTCAAACATGCTGCCTTGACAGTGACATTCAATTCAACAATGAATGGTGTCCACCTGTATGAGGATAATGATGAACTTATTGCTGGTCTTACCATTTGACAAATATCATAGTAACTATAGGGGTCACACAGTAGTCACTTGATACAATTCCATCAAAATTACAACAGTTGGGTGTGCTGCAATGACCGCAGCTACTCTCCAAACATCTACGATCACCTGGAAGCATTTGGCTTCCAGGGAAATCCTGCAAGCCGGCCGGTTTCGCGGCTGGGCCATGATTTCTCATGGTTCTACACTGGAGATCTTCTGAGATTCTGAGATTAAAGGTTGTTTATTCATTGAATTACTTTATTCTCTTCCATTGGAACCTCCAACATGCCCATCCGACTCAAATCCAAGCATCCAAACCATCCGCTCAAGTGCCTAGAAAACAGTCGCTGCTGGAGATTCTGGAGAAACTAGGAAATGCACCCAAGAATGGTCTACCCTTAACCTGGCCTATGAATCAAAGCAATGGTTAGTTAAATTAAATTACTACTTGTTTCGACGCCTAGCAGGGCCGTTTGTTCGGCGCAAATTGGGGGGGCCTTCACTTCACCCGAAAGCATGACAACATGATCCTTATATACTTGGAAATGGGATGAAATAGTATGTCCTCAAGTCAAACATTGACCCCCCAAGCGCTCAAGCAACCCTGTAGCTCTTGAATCTTCTCGGACGATCTCCACAACTCTCGGAACCTGCTTCGCCCGAAAAGCGCTTTGTTCGGGGTCCGCCCCGAACATGCGGTCTGGCGCTCAGCGGAAGCCACGCTTCTGCAGAAGGTGCTGAATCCTGAGCACCGGCGGTTCTTCAGGACATGTCTTCCAGGTGCCGAAACGGAACGCCGTTGTATTGAACGCGCACGTTGCGTACAATTTCAGTGGTGGGACCATGCATGGGTTCCACGTAAAGCCGGTACACCTGGATATGTTTCATTCATTGGCCAACAGAACTCCACTGCTCTATCATTCTGAGGTGAGGGGGAAAGCCTCCTTTGGCCAAGCCCGTCCCGTTTTCCATCCCCGGATTTCCCCGGCCACTGGCGGCCAACAACCCAAACACCACGGCTGCCGAAAAGGCCAACAAAAGGGCGACCTTTTTTGGGGGGGGGAATTGTTTTCCAACGCGTTTGGGGAGTTTTTTCCGTACTGTTTGTGGTCAGGGGTTACCACAAAGAGAAAAAGAAAGAGACCTAGCGCAGGAGGCAAGGGACGAAAGAGCAGAAGGAGAAGGAGAAAAAGGAAAAGGAGGAAAAGAGGGAGGAAGAGAAGGAGAAGGAGAAAGAGAAGGAGACAAAGGAGAGAGGAGAAGGAACAAGAGAAGGAGAAGGCTCTTCCCGCTGCATTCTTGCAGATCACAATACAGTATACACCAGCCATGTGAGAATGGTAGCGCTTACCGGTAAGTCTGAAATATATTCCTTGTATGTCCACGCATGCATATGTGTCTATATGTATGTAAGTTTGTCTATGTTTGTGTGTGAATATGTGTGAAAATATGTGTATATATGCATATGAGTATGCGTATGGGTATGTGTGTCTGTGTGTCTGTATGTATGTCTGTCTGTCTGTCTGTCTGTCCGTCGGTCTGTCCGTCGGTCTGTCTGTCTGTCTGTATGTATGTATGGCTTTTTGCTTTTGCTTCTGCACAGCTTCCTTCCTTCCTTCCTTCCTCCTTCCTTCCTTCCTCCTTCCTTCCTTCCTTCCTTCCTCGAAGACAACAAAGCCTGGGAAAAATAATACCAAAACACGTTGGAAAAACATCCCACAGAAAGGTTCCCCGTCTGGCAGTCTCTGTGTTTGACGGCTCCATGTTGAATCCGTGGTTTCAGAGGTTTGATGGCACAAACCCCAAACCTCTGATGGTTTGATGCCTTTTATTGGTCAATCTGGGGTTTTCCATCAACAAACCTTTGCAACCCCCCCGGTGGTTTGATGTCTTTTAGAGGGGTTCTCCATATAAACCACCAATCCGTCGTCTACTTGGTGCCTCCGACGTCTACTCTCAATCTGTCTGGATTCCCTCTGAGGCGCTGAATGGCTTTGGTCGGCTCATACTCTGGAACGCCTCTTCGCCGCAGGAAGCCTCGGGAGACGTACGCGGGAGACCCGGGAGGCGTTGAAATGCCATGGGTTTAGCCGAATCGATGAAAAAACGTCGACAGATGCCTGTCCTACGGGATGGGCTGCAAAGGGTTTGGAGGGAAAGCCACTCTCCAGGTTTTGAGTTTTCAAGACTAAGAACGAAGCATGACATGGACACGCACCGTCCAAAATTCAGCAAGTACCTTTGCCTTTGTGTGATGCAAGCCTTTCAGAACCGCACCCACACCTAGGGGAGTAGAGCACAGCTAAAGCCTGCTCTTAAAACATCTTAAAACACTCAACGGTTTGTCAAAGGATGTTGAAGGAAGTAGCAGTGAGCGACCCGAAGTTATTTGCGATGTTTGTGCTGTGGCTCGAACTTCATACCGTCCTTAGCTGTGCGATTCTGCTGTTGTCCCTTGTGTCGCCATTGCTGTTCTCCTGCGGTTTCTGGCTTATCCTTGTGTTTGCTCTGCAGGTCTTTGTCGTGCACTGTCGGCAGGATGGTGGGCTGTGTGGTCATGATCCTGGTCGAAGCAAGTGCCCAAACTGCAGCGGTTGATGCTGAACCCAGTTCCAAGCACTGAAAACAGAAAATAGGAGGACGTTACAACCGATGGTCCGATGGTTGTTGAATTCTTGATGAGTTTTTGATCTTTGCTTACTGAAAGAGGGCTCCCCATATTTGATACACACCCTTACTGAGCTACTGCCCAAACAATCTCCAAGCAGCCGGAGCGGCAAAAGAGCAGCTGGCCACCTGAGTGGAGGACAAGGCAGATGTTCATCTCCCCGATGTTGACTAAGGTCTCAAGAAAGTCAATAAATGCAAAGTTGAAAGAAGCAATTTGGGCATGAATAGATGAGTCAATAGATGTTGAGTTGGAAAGAACAATTTGGACATCACTGAATTATAGTCAATATATAGATGTCAATAAATGCATCCTGGCGGTAACAAACCAGATCCTTGTGCATCCTGGGTTTGTTACCGCCAGATCCTTGTGCAAATGGGGGCTGGGGAGGCACCAGGGAGGAATGGAGTGGTGGCAGGTTCTGTCAAAGCCTCGCAAATGCCTCGGCAAGTCTCCAAATTCTTCGCCGGCGGCAAGCAAACGAAACCGTTCAACAAACCAGGTTCAACATGATCACCCCACTCATTTGTCAACAAACCATGACCAAAAAAAATACATGTTTTCAAAACTTCCGTCATTTCTGAGTCTAATCATGTTTAGGAAGTTTAGAAAAACACGTGTTTTTGACAAAACCCTGGCCAATCCATGCAAATATTTTGCTTACTACCATAACGCAAATGGCTTCTTGGTGTTCGTCTTCCTCCGATCCAACCACCCCCAGACCGAAGCCACCAGCCCGTCGAAACACCCCGACACACAGAGGGCGAAGCACCGCAGGATTCCACCGCCCAAGTGGCACTCGGACAAGTAAACGTCATGGGTGCGCCCGCGGTAGCCCATCTCATCGCAAATCTGCCCTCGACCACCGTGCGACTTGCAGTCGCACTCAGGGAGAACAAAAGCGCGGAGCTCAATGGGGGGGATGGGGGGGGCTCCAAGACTTTACTTCAGTTAATGTCGACATAGGATTAATCACCCGCCCCCACTTCAAGGTCAACAAGGTCAACAAGGTTTGGGATTGGAGGGATTGGAGACCACATCCCCTTAATAAAAATGATGACCTGATGATGGATGATGAGATGAGATTGCACAGATTGCTGCTGGGACGGATGAAAAGAGCAAGCAGAATGATCAGGAATGATTGATGGATGAGAGGATCAGCATGGGAAACGGGTAGATCAGAATGCTATATCTCAAAGAGATGGCATGAGACAAGGGTGGATTGGAAGATCAGTTTCACCATGGACCAAAGATATTGAATACTAAAAATATAATGTAAATAACAAAAAAACATAAAAACAATTAGCTGTTTTTCTGCGGGAGCTGGGCTTGATTAATAATCAGGGGGAGGTTGCAGGGTTTTAATTAGTTTACTATTGGAGGCTCCAGCTGGGCTTGATTAATAGGGGGGTCCTTAATCCTATGTTGACATTAGGTTGTGAAGAAACACCCCGTCTCGTGCATTGCGTTTGGATGCGTTCGGCAACTGGGTGTGTATTAAATTTGGGAGACCTCCCAGTCCGACTTCCTACAAAAAGGAATGAACATGGACCAGTCTACCATCCAAAACCCAGTGGTCCAGGGGTCTGTCTCCCTCTTCAAATGCCTACTGGCCTCCTTGGTGGTCTTGGTTCGGTTTTCCTTAAAGTCCTGTCTCAAGGGGGATCGGCTTCTGCCTCACCACCGGGTGGATCGGCGCAGAGTGGCGCGCGATGAGTCCATCCACGTCCATCCGCCCGGACGGCGCGTCGTACATCCGTCGGAGTGTGGTACAAGTACCGGAGACCTGGGAGTGGATATGAGAAGTGGAGAGTGTGATACTTGTACGGCGGATGATATGGTACAGTACGTACCAGTGTGGTACAAGTCGGAGAGTGGATATGAGATGAGATGATGTGAGGCCCTTTGTTTGTCATAAGTCATGGGGGTGGCATCAATGACTGGTGCATGCACCGCCACTGCGTCCAGGCCACGGTCTTGTCGCTCCCACAGCATGGTGCCTGAGGTTCGAATCCATTGGGAGTCGGACAGAGTCAAATCGCAGTTGTGTACAGTTCAAGGAATTCGGGAGGATCACAAGCTCTATAGTGGTCTCCAAATAGGTAGAAAACACGTAGAACATGTATTGGAACCCATTTCTATATAGATGAGCTATTTCGGGATCAACATCGACATCACCTCTCGCTGTCGCAAAACGTCAAACCAGGAGTCAAACCCTCGCTGTCGCACCGGAGCTACATGGAGAGCTCAGTGGCTTCGTTTGGAGAGCTCAGCAGCTCCCACCAGTTCCTATGGCTTGGCGCCTGGCTTGGTCAGGGTCCTGTGCGGGCGTCCCCTGATCCACGAATGCTGCCGGAAGGCCATCATAGAGAAGCTGGGAGGTCTTGTAGAAGAGTGTGGACGCCTGACGTGGGGAGTACCTCGGTGTTCAGCATAAACATGCATAAACATGAGACACGCCTCGGATCCAACTGAGACGCAGGCTGCAATCGTTGAGACACATGCGGCCCATGTTCAGAACTTGATGCAATTGTTCGAGTTCCAAGTCCATACTATACATGCTAACGCCAAGTTCATTCAAGTCCAAAGTGCTGCTTTGACTCCTCAACGTCTAGTCCTCAGCTAGGCTTTTTGAAGCGGCGAAGGCATCTTGCTACTTGTGTGATGCATTGGGATGCAAGCTTTGAAAACATGATCACGTTCCACCATTATCTGCCCCCATGTTTTGTCATCTTAAACCAACATAACAATCCATAGGTATGTTTGGAGAATCGCAGCTGGCATCCAAACAGTGCTGTTACCGCATGGCTCCGGTCTCCACAGGTGGCAGTCGCCTCGTGCTGTCGCCTTCTGTGGGCCTCGTGGGTTTTTTCCCTCGTGGGACGCCTCATCTGATCATACACTCATGGCCACGCAAGACACCTCACAGCACTGCATCCAAGACACCTCAATGGCCGGATTGGTCGTAACGATGACATATCTATAATAAAAAAGGACCTATCACGATGACACCAGTGGCCTTCCCTACATAAAGACCCAAACTGTTTGATGCTTGGCTTCGCATGGGGTCAAAAACCGCCACGAAGAACGCCCGCGCACGCGGCATGCCCGCGCGCCACGCGCGGTTAAAATGCCACGCATGACTTGACCGCCCGAAGCGGCCACTCTGCCAGGGATCGGATTAACCTGGAATCAAAGGACTGGTTGATCACCGTCCTCGGGCGTCATTGGACGGATCCGTCCGTCTCTGAGAACGACCCGACTGACGGTCGTAGTTTGGGAGCCGGAGAGGAGCCCTTTTACAAGCATGGCACGCGATGCGTGGCATTCAGGATCAAACTGACCATCTATGTCACTGGAGCTTCTCATAATGAATTGGAAATAAGCAGGAACCTCTTCCTCGAAAAGCAGCCCTATTCTTACAAGATCATATATTGCTGTATATATTCTTCAGGGAAGGTGTTTGGGGTGGGTTTGATTTGAGGGGTCCAAACACCTTCTGAGGAAGCACTTGGAGCCCTAATAGGTGCATATGTAATATCATACATATATATATAATATATATATATACACATGTATATAAAAGAAACACGCGCATGTGTATATATTTATATATATACTGTATACAGAATGCTTATACACACCAAACCAACACACCCAAAACAACACTGAATTTGACCAATGGAGGGTCGCAATATCAAGAGAAACCCACAGACTAGATCCAAGGCTGGCCGTGATCTGCTAGCTTGGAAATCCCCTTGAAGTGCCCAAAGTGAAAGGTGGATCCAAAAACATCACTACAAAGGTCTTCAGCACAGGGTCACCATGGCGCTGCTAATCACGCGCGCCGCGCAAGCGCGGCTTAGCTTGCGGACGTCGAGGCACAAAGCATTGTAGGTCTCTACCATCTGATTGTCCTTCACGACTTCAGTGCTTCCCGAGGGGACCTGGGCAGTTGGTCCGGCTTAAAGGGCAAACATAGGAACCTACCTGTCCAGTCTCTCTGAAGGTGTTGGCCAGCGTTTCAAACATTCGCTTAAAGATCTTAAAGGTGAATTGCATTGCAGCACATGCCTCTTCCATAATCTTCCATCCTATTCCCACCTATTCCTGACATACCACTTACTGTAATAAGAAAACAGTAAGACCCCTTTGTGGCTAAGTACTTGGCTTTTCTTTGTCTGGACCCTCGCCCCAAGTCCTCGCCCAGTGGCCAGCAGCACACAAGCAGGTTCACAGCCCAGCTTGGTGGCCACCCGCGCCCTCCTGGGGCGTCCCCCGTCCCGGAGGGTGAAACGATGTCCCAACCCAAACACTCCATGGGACTGCCATATATGCCAATCAGTTGGGGCGGTGCCAGGGGGGTCAATGGGGCGGCATATATTAATATGGCATGCATGGAGTGTCTGGGCAAAGCACAACAAGTATATAGTTGTTCTTGAGTTGTTGAGTTATGCACGGCTCTGCCTTAGAGCCGGAATGGAGGAATCCCTTGGTTGACTATCCTCAAAACAAGGGGAGGAAGCAAAGGCTGGAGCATTGGAGGTCAATGATTTCTCTCGGTTTTTCAGGGCAGATTCTGGGGGATGACTTCACCATGACTTCATGAGTCTGCAATCCCATGGGTGGAGTGATCGACCCGCCTGAGTGGATCACCAAGAAATGCAGGGACTGGGATATGCAGGGACTGGGATCAGGTGGAATCCGCACAAATACTGCCAAAGGATTTTGCTCTGAGTGGTGTCTTCCAAGTCAGTTTGAGGAGGTGCTCAACGAATAAAACATTCGATTGATGTGGAAGAACAATGGCTCTGGCAGGTTCTGGGTCAGCACCAAGGACGGCCCCGACAAAAGATAATTCCCAACAGCGATTGTTGTTCTGTGGATGTTTGCCTCCAAACATGTTGAGTGTTAGTCTGCTCTGTCTGTATTTTTGACCCCCTTCCACAGCCACAGATGGATTGCGTTTGGGGTGGTTTTCTGGTCCACCGCCGCTGCGTCAAGGATCACATCTTTGATGCTCTGGGCATCCGCCAGCTCTACCTCAAGAGCAAACAGCTCTGGCTCCCAATGGAGGTGAAGGATTGGTATGATTTAAGAGTCGCGAGATCCCTGAGCAATTACAGTTATACAAAGTCAGATTAAATAAGGTATGTCAGAGTGCGGGCGTTCCAAAATCACCGGGATCTCTCTTGGACTTGACAGGAAGCATCCACCGAATCCACATCAGACCTGACATCCAAACAATCTGAAGGTTTCTCCAAAACAACACATTTGGATGAAAAGAATACCAAGGCTTTGCATTATCTTCGGTGGATCCTCTCTTCGACTCGGATCCCGCTTTAACGGACGGCCAGCGGAGACGAACCGCTCACATGTTCCAACGGTTCTTCTCGGATTGGCTCAATGGACCAAGAGTGAACGGTCACTGTGTAGATGTTTAGCCATGAAAAAGGCATTCCCTGAATTCTGCAGATTTCCCTGCAACTAGGACCTATATAGTGCATATAGGATCTCCTATTGATATCTATTAGAGAAAGAAACATCTTCAGCATTCCTCAGCAGCCCCAGGATTTCCAGGTCTTCCAACAAAAAACACACCCCTCCAGGTACAGCTTCAACATGCTTCAACGGTTTACCCCCGCTTCCACCCGCCAGTTTGGGGGTGTAATTCTGATATATTCTGATCTCTCCGCAGATCTCTGACACTGCTCTGAGTGACTCCCAGTCCCCCACCCAGAATTGGCCTCGATCTCTTCTCCGCTCAATGCCAGCAGTTGTAGAACCATGGCACCGTGACCCAACGCCTCCAGCTGCACCCGGTCGCTGACTGGATCGCCCCAGGCGGAGCCCGGTCGCGGGAAGAGCGCGCGAGGTCGACCAATCCTTCTGCACCGGGACAAGTCGTGACGATTCGCGACGGCCGAGAGGGGCCGTCCGGTGGAGATGTCAAGTGAAAACAGACCCCCAAAACACTCCATGTCTGTCATAGATGCCCTTGATTGACCCCATGCTAGGACGAGCTCGACCAGAAGAAGACAGTCAGCTACCAGTGCAACCGTTACACCACTTCATGGAAAAGAACCAACAAAATATAATATGTAAAATAACTATATAAAATGGCCTGTGCGAGTACGGCCTCTCATCGCTGAAATCGACATGCAAAACATGACATGCTTTAAACAATCACCGCACCACTTGTCCGGTTTGGTTTTGGCTCTCTACATCAGAACGTTACAAAATAGCACCGTACCAAACCCACCCAATCCCCACCTCCCGCACGAAGCGCCATGGACAAATTCCGCAAGGAGACCTCCGGCTTCTGCTGCTTCCGCATTGGGAAGATCACGCCGTAACTAATCCCCACGAGTCACTAGTAGCAAAGGGCAATCGCTACGAGTCCGGAGCGATCGGACGCGAACCGCACGGGGCGCGGGTGTTGGCCGGAATTGACTGCCCGAGCTCCATGGAGCGCATGGACAGCGGAGGGCCCCAGGGTCCCCCGTCTTTCCGTCTCGGTTTTTGGGTGTATGTCACTCCTGGGGCTGGTCTGAGGAGCTTGAGGGCTGACGGGAAGCAACACAGCAGAAAGCCACCAAAAGCTTAAAGTCTATAGAGTCTATAAAGGGATCTCTTCTTGATTTCTGGTCACAATAAACAGGGCTCAGGTCAATCGCCTACTGGTAGGGTGCAGCCAACTTCTTCCGACAAATCACCGAAAGTGTCCGCACACCCCCCTCACACCCCAGAACTTCCGTTTTGACTCATTTTACCCCACCTGGAAGTCATAATCGACCGGGATACATGAGCCATTTGGACTCTCAAGTCGGCCCCAGCTTCACCCCCCCCCCACGCTGGCTACCCCTGCGCGACCATCTTGTTGGATTTGAGAACCCCCAAAGGTCGTGGAGCGCCATTCTCCGGTCGCTCCTCGCAATGAGTTGCTACAAATGTGAGATAATTGTTTCATGTTGATTCCGTGAGGTAACTCACCTTTCCAAAGACCTTGGACTGGGTGGAACTCCAAAAAACACACACACCCAGCCTCTCACGGCTCAAAACGGCCTCAAAACGCGCCGGTGTTCGCTCAGCATCCCACGGGCCCCGTCCGACCGGGCCAGGGCGCCACACCGGATTGGGCGTGCACATCTCAAGCGCTTGTTCAAAACATCGCTGCGCCTGGTTTTGGGGCGGTTCCACCGTGCTGGTGGACCGGAGTGGTCTGAAAGGGGCTGGGAGACCGGCTGAAGATGGAGAGCAGTGACCTGGCATCTCCATTCCCTTTACATTGCAAGTGTTGCTGATTATGATCCATTTTGCCCAGTTCCTACCTGATGTCGTTTCACCAACTCATAGAGTCATTCGCAACGAAGCTGGGCCCCTTCTTGTTGGCAGGACCGTAGCCAACGGTCAAAACCTAGGTTGGCCACGCTCCAAAAAGCCACAGTGGCCATCCTGCCTGTGGAATGTCCTGCATGTTCCAATAGACCTGCAGCAAGAAGGAAGACCAGGTAGGCAAATGAAAGTGACACCAACAAAGGATTTGCTGCATGAAGGTGGGTTGTCCAATGCTCAAAGCTCAATGGATACTTCGTTTTGGTCACACGCTTGCTACGCCGGGTCGCAAGTGCGCCGAGCACATGCTTCACCCATGGTGTGCAGCCCGGGTTTTGGGAATCAAAAAGTAGAAAGGATCAGCATCAAGAAAGACATATTCAAGAGGGATCAAAAAAACAAAAAAAAACAGTATGCCGTGCAGCCCTTCATTGCAAACCTTCCAGGACCAACATGAACTGATCCAGGTGGTCGTACCGCCTGTGGCGGCCACGGTTGGTGTAGTGAAGACGACTCCCGCCTCGCCCAAGCCGTTCCAAGCATCCAGCAGCTGCGGGTCCAACCTTGGTAGCGGAAGCATCTTCCCAACCGTTTTTAATTCAGCCCACCCCATTTGACTTGGGAATCCTCAAGCTTCGGGCCTGGGGGGTTGATTCATCAAGAGTCTACCTGGACCGGTTGGCTGGTGAGAAACCAGGTTCCTTCCTGGGCATCATCTTGTCACATGAAGAGGTCTAATCTGGCTGACATCGATCGGAACGGTCACCAGTTCGGAGATCGGAACGGTCGTAGGTCAGTGTGCTTCAGCAGGGGATCCCCATGACGCCCTCAGCTGGACAACCTGCTTCGCTGCCAATTCTTCATCCTCAGGGTGTTTGCAAGACCCCGTGCTAATTAGCAAGATGGTCCCCTACTTCTTTTTGATGGATCAAAGCATGTAAAAGCTCAAAACACTTCACCATGAAAGGGACATTTCTCAAATTACACATAAATATATCCATATACCCTCCAAACTCCTATATATGTCCTATTTGACCCCATTATACAGAGCCACTCTTGGCTCAAAATCCGATCCGCGCGGATAAATCGAGTGCTACTCCGCTCGCTGCAGAATGGGGCGCAACGGAGGCGACTAGCCGATGGAACCAGAAGTCCCATGGTGATCCATGGTGTGTTTCCTCATCGTCCCAAGTCATCCTGGCGATGAAAGATTGGATGTGTTTTTGATCTTTTTCCATGGGAACAAATCGGAACAAACATGCATTTTTCACATGGAAAGGAGCTTGTTCAATGTTCTTTTTTCCGACCCGTTGGGCACAAAGCTCTGAGCGCCAAGCTTCAGTGCCTTGGACAAATTCTCCTGGACGGCGATGCATGTGTTTTTTGTCGTGAACGTTCGTGTCACTTGATAGTGCCAAAAACTGGGGCACGGACACCTGAAGACTGTTCTAAAATGGTTTAACTATGTTTAACTGGGTTGTCTGAAAATGAGGGCATGTGATTGCATGTGCACGCACTCTCGGTTTCAAGGGTCTTCATACGTGTTGCCAAGAGTCTTACAAAACCGTGGTCGCACCGTTCCCTGCGTCCGTATGCCTGGTTTTCGTGAGCCTGACCCACATGGACCCTACTCCCTTTACAGCTCCATGCACCTTGAGCGATCTCCCATCAAGCCCCTGGTATTCCACCTCAGGGCAGGGTAATATGCCAATCAGTCAACCCCAGGGCAGCCCCATAGAGCTTGGTTGAATGGATTTGGAATGGATTGGATTTGCCTCTTTACTAACCCAGTGGTTTGCTCCACCTCTTTCTTCAGCCACGCCTCGGCCACCCGCTCTTGGCCCGGCCTCGGTCGCGGCAGTGACGTAAACGGTTGATTGCCAAAGTTCCAAAGCCCTCCATAAGCCGTCCATCAGCGCGACTTGCGGTCCCTGTCCGTCACGGCCATAGGCAGTGAAGCCATAATCTGTGAAGCCATAATCACATATCATTATACTCACCTTCTCTTTTTTCAGGCTCAGCCGGTCGGCGGTGAGGATGTTTGGATGGTGCTGTTGGTGAATGCTGCACTGATGTTGATGAGTTCCCGGACTTCTCCCCAGGGCCCCGCACACGAAGGAGCAAGCACGGCCCTTGATGCAAAACCTAGAGAGTGGCACGGAGCGAGCGCGGAGCCGGAAGGAAAGTGGAGAAAAGGGGTCTTGAATGGTCTTGAATGATTACACTCCCGAAAACTAAGATGGACCCTGGCAATGGCCCCCTGGAAGATTGTTTTCCTCTACCAACCAGTGGTTTTCAGTGTCCATGTTAGTCTTCCAGGATGTACACATAATGCACTCTGACTCACTAACATGGAAGTGGAAAATAGTCCCTTGGAAGACTACAAAGGGTTTTCCACTTCCATGTTAGCGAGTCGGAGAGAAGTCCCACAGAATTGTTAGGGAATCGACATGGAACCAAGTGAGACTGGTTCAGGAAATCTCCAACAACAAAAGAGGTCCATTCATTGATCCCGTACAAATTCGCCAGATAAAAGACCGGCGATGGGCAGCGCCAATAAGAACACTTCACCACAGCTGGAGTCTTTTTCTTCTTCTCCAGAAATAGAAGGAAAACATGCCGAGTAATTACAGTACGTACTGCATTTCTTGGTGCCAGCACGCGCTGTCTCTCCATGCAGGTGGACCTGGAGGAAACAAAGAACAATGGGTCAATGGGTGACAACTCTTCACCCATCTTCACCATGTCTCACGGAGCTCGGACACACCAGGCGCCCTGTGCACAAAAGCGTCTGGATCTTTTTCCATGATCGCCGGGCGCAAAACGGCTCAAGCCTTCTTTGGACTCGACTTGGTCAAAGCCTGGCATCCCGAGCGGCGCTCCATCACGCGAGCAGCGCTCCACTTGACTTCCACGACATGCTGCGCGCGCGCCATCGCGACGACTGGAGCTCACGAGAAAAAACGTGTGCAGCAAAAACAAACCGGGCCAAAGATGGTCGATGGCATTCGATCTTTGTTGGGCCAACGTCCCTATTCTGAAACCCTCCGGTGCAGGGCATTCATCTCAGGATTCTCCAGCCCAATCTTGGCCGGAAGAACCTGGCGTTCGGAAACGGCAGGTCACAGGCTTGGGACACTCCCAAAACACCTCTGAAACGACCAGTGTGATGTTTTTTGGTGACATTTGATGAAGCTTTATAAAAGTATATACGATTATATACGTATATATATATATACACATTGAAATTGGTCTTGCCTCCATCCCTTGACGGAAGCTACATCTATTCATACACACATGACCAAGTCAGTACACAGGAGTTTCTGCTGTTTTCCTTATCTGATGACAGGATCGTTCCAAGGAGGATCTTTCACAGGCAGCCGAAATGGCTCAACCTGCAAAGGGGTCAGCTCAACGGCCTGACAGCCCCACCAAACTCGATCCCAAGCAGAAC